AAAAAATTACTACTGTAGTCTCATATTGGTGACAGGTGTTCTATTAAACATTTAGTATATGAGTAGTCTGTTCATCTTACTTGGGGTATTTCTGAATGAATTGTGACAAGCTAGTAAAATCTTTTGAAGGTTTTTTTTTTTTCCAGACTCCTTGAGCTAATATTTTCCCTTTGGCCAGTGGGATAGACTGTATGTTATTTTTGATACTTTTTAAAGACATGTGGGCAGTTACTGTGCATATAAGCCAGATGGCATGTGTCAGCTCCTTTCCTGGAAAGAAAGAGTTTTTTAGGGCTGCTGTAGTAAATAAAACCTTATGTGACTTCTTATGTAGCTGTTCCCTTCTTTACATAAATTAGTTCTTCAAGAAGCTCTTCACAGAATATTGGGCACCTTTTTCACTTACTGACAAGGAGTGAGATATCCTTTTATATTTGTATTAAACTGCTCACGGAATCCTGGTGTGACATTATAGGGTAAGCACTGGACTACTTACTGCAAGATTGGCAGTTCAAACTTACCAACCGCTCCCTATGCAGGGTGGTTATGAGTCAAAGTAAGTTATGAGTCAAAACCGACTTGAAGGCATTTAACAACAACAGCAACAAGCTACTTACAGATAGGATCTGAGTCAGTGGTTGGCTGGCACTGGACAACCCTCTCACAACAAACAATATGTGAAGTACTTAGAACTCCAAACCAGACCAGTTGCAGTTAAGTTGATTCAGACTCATGGTCACCCCATATTTTGAAGGATAGAACTGAGCTCCAAAACCATCCTGATTCACAGATCAGCCATGGATAGTGTTTTCTATGTTAGCTCTTGCCTTTTAATAAGTATGAGTGGTCTTCAAAAAGGTCAAGGGAAAAAAATCACATCTTTCTAAAAACTATTTTTATTTTGTTTTTATTGTGAATTATGTGATAGTTTACATGGGGGGAACATTAGCTTTACATTCATCCTATCATATTTCGTTTCAGTGCAATGATTACAATCCCCTCCATGTATCATTAAACAACCAAAGGATACACCCAGCAAGCCTGCCCATTGGTTGTCAGCACACAGCCCCTCTCCGACCCTGAGTCCCCCAGCTGCTCCATCTTTCCACATCATCATCTCTGCTTCCATCTCTGGTGTCACTGCTTCTCTGAATAAGGTCCCACACTCCGGTCTTCACCTTGAGCGGGTCCCAGGGACCTCCTCTCCTGGACTGCAAAATCAGTCACTCCCCTTCTTTTGTTACATTTGCAACATTCACTGTCAGTCCTAATAGCAGTTATTCACTATTGAACCTCAAGAGTCTTATCCCCATCCAGACAGATTGGAAACCATTCAGTGGAGATTCTACCTTACCCAAAACCCTCTGGAACTAGGCTCTCTCATGAAAGATTGTAAGCCAGTCACTTTGTGCCTTTGTAGCCCCCCACCCCCACCCCCCATTTTGGGTAGCCAGTGTCTAAGTTGCCCATCCCTGTCAATCCTGTGTACCAAGAGGGTGGGAATGAGCCTCACTGTAAAGATTTGTTCCTTCTTTTGAGCTACTACATCCATAAGTATAGGTAAAGTTCATCAAATTGTAGCAGATTACTCTTTTTTTTTTCCCCTCTTCTTTCTTCTTCTAAGGAGCTCTGGTAGCATAGTGGTTACGAATCGGGCTGCGAACCTTAAGGTCAGCGGTTCGAAACTACCAGCTGCTCCGCGGGAGAAAGATGAGGCTTTCTACTCCCGTAAAGATTTACACCCTCGGAAACCCTGTACAGGGTCGCTATGGGTCGGAACCGACTCGACGGCACTTAACAACAACAACTTCTTTCTTCTTCTAGTCGAGTTCTGATCATCCAGCCATGTAACCCGGTCAAGTGGGTACAGTCTGCAAGTATGAGTGTTCTTGTGCATTTCCCCTCACTTATATCAACTGGATGTTTCACTCTCTGCTCTCGTCCTCTGTGGCCATGTTACTGTCTCATTGCCCAGGAGTCCCCAGGTCTTGCCACACTGCTGGCCAGCCAGATCTCAACCCAGGTTTACAGGAGTCTGTTGAATGTGGTCGGACTTAACTCACAACTTCATTGCTGTTTTTCCCTCATTTCCCCTTATTGGTGACCAACGTGGACACCAGCAAATCCACATTCCTATTTGTGTATTCCCCTTGAGTCTTAGTCTTTGAAGGGGGTTTGCCCTTAGAGCATCCGACCACTTGTCTTGATGGCTCCTGTGCAGACAGCTTGCTTGTTCTTGTAGTAGTCAGACTGCCATTATTGTTTTTTATTTTTCCTGTTGGTCTTTCTTTCAAGAAGTATCTTCTGTTCTAGTAGCACCTGGCTGGTCTGCTTATCCTTTCAAGTGGAAATTTCCTACCTTAGAAGATTCTGAATGGGGATCAAGATTCCACCTGTGGTCTTATGCAATGCAAAGACTCTGCAGAAAGCCTCCTTCACTGGGCAAGTTCTAGCCCCAGTTTAGGTATCCCAATCAGTTATAGGCTGAAGACGGACTTACAAGCCTATAATTGGTTGGAAGATGGACTTACAGTGATGTTTCTGGCTATTCCTTTCTCTCCCCCTCAAGTGTCTATTTTACAATAGTAGGTAAGGGAAACTAGGATTCAAAAGACAACCACACATCTTAACATTATTTCCTCTCTTTTACCCATTTAAACCATGCCTCAATCCCTGTATCCCAGAGCCCTGTTGTTCCAAGGTTGATGATACATCACTATTTACCTCTGTCCCACTTAGCGGCCTAACTGTTCTCCCATCCACCTTGTTCTTCCATTCCCTTCCCCCTTGTATATTGTCTCCTCCTCCTCCCCCAGCACCTAAACTATCCTGTGTCTATTCCCTACTTTGTGCTTTACATTCCCCTCCCTCCCCTTACCCCACCCCCTGCATCCCGGTAACCAGCAAATAATTTTTTTTCCCCCCTTTTAGTGTGGGTACTTTTCCTTAATCTTCTACAGTAATGGTCCTGTGCAGTATTTCTCCTTTTGTGATTGACTAATTTCACTCCACATAATGTCTTCAAGGTTCATCCATGTTTTGTGGTGGCTTGCAGCTTCCTTGTTATTCTTCAAGATAGCATAATATTCCATGGTGTGTATGTATCACAGTTTGTTTATCCATTCTTCCATTAACGGGCACTTAAACTGTCTCCATCTTTTTGCTGTTGTGAATAGTGCTTCTATGAACATTGGTGTGCATATATCTACTCGTGTTACGGCTCGTATTTCTTCTGGATAAATACCAAGTAGAGGAATTGCTGGATCATAAGGTATTTCTATTTCCAACCTTCTGAGGAAGCGCCATATTGC